TACCTAGGAAATCCATGCAAAAGCATACATTCAAATATCAGTACAATGGCAATGGAGCACTTGAGGAAGGACGGTCCCGGTACCTGGGGGCTAGCTGGGGATTTGATAGACCTGGGTTCAATTCCCAGCTCTACCACAGATTTCCTGGGTGATCTTGGGCAAGTCACCTAATCTGTGCCTCAAATTCCCCGATGTGTACAATGGGGACAATAGCGCTGTCTTCCCGCATGTGAGTGTGATGGGGAGAGCGACACTGAAGATGGTGAGACGCTCAGATCCAATGGTGATGGGGGCCAGATAAGCATCTTATATGGATTGAATAGACGGGAAGTGATGTAGTTAAGGCTGCCTGAGCAAAATGGGACCTTAGACTCCTAGATTTGAAAGTCAGAAAGGACCATCATGGTTGTCTAGTTTGACCTCTGGCACGTGACAGGCCACAGAACCTCACTCACCCACTCCTGTAACAGACCCCTAACCTCTGCTGAATTATAGATGTCCTCAAATCATGGTTTAAAGACTTCAAGTTACATAGAATCCACCATTTACTCTAATTTAAACCTGCAAGTGACCCATGCCCCACGCTGCAGAGGAAGGTGAAAAACTCTCAGAGTCTTTGCTAATCTAACCCAAGGCAAAATTCCTTCCCGACACCAAATACGGCAACCAGACCTTGAGCATGTGGGCAAGACCCACCAGCCAGACACTTGGGAAAGAATTCTCTGTAGTAATATCTCCAGATACTCTGAGTTTCCCAGGTATCTGCAGTGGCTGGAGGTTACCAGTGGAGTTCCACAGGGATCGGGTTGGGACCAATCCTATTTAAAATTTTTGTTACTGACCTTGGCACAAAAAGTGGGAGTGTGCTAATAAAATGTGTAGATGGCAAATTCTCCAGTCACAGGGTATGACCCCCGAGTTTACAGATTCATTACAAATCCTTGCTATTGGGCTTGCAAGTTCATGTGCCAGCTCTTTTTATATTCTTGGATGGAGACTAACTGGGCCCCTGGATTTAGTCCCTTGATCCTGATCAGGACCTCTGAACAGTACCGCAATGCAAATTTATACTAAACCTGCAGGGCAAATCTTACCTCTGATGCGCGACATCCCCGTAGGTGACCAGAATATTCGAGGAACGAGCAGCCCAAAATATCTAGGAGGAGAATATTGCCCTTTACATGGTGAGTTAGAAGTTGTGACTCTGCAATGTCAGACAGGACGGATATGTCCTCTTTCAGATTTCTCCTCTTCCGTGGGAATGTCCTAGCAGGAAGTTTATGCAGACCTTGTGAGAAGGGTGTGCTTCTTGTTGCTATCCAGCAATGCTGCTAATTAAAGCAGCAGGGTTGACAGACTCTGAAGGGAGTCCAGGTTGGTGACTGCAGTATGGCACCAGGAGGAAGATTTGGTTGGTCATCAATCCATACGTTTGGTTCCCACTATGCCCTCTCTCACCAATCCAGAGATGCCGCCACATTTGGTCATGTGGTCCTAAAATCTTTGTTAAGAACAGCCATGCTGGGTCAGACCAAAGGTCCATCTAGACCAGTATCCTGTCTTCTGACAGTGGTTAATGCCAGGTGCCCCAGAGGGAATGAACAGAACAGATAATCATCAAGTGAGCCATCCCCTGTCGCCCATTCCCAGCTTCTGGCAAACAGACGCCAGGGACACCCAGCGGTGCAAGTAGAATTTATTTCTTACCAGTATGCTGCACCCATGGGAGGGACACAAAGGGGGGGCAACAGCTGAAGGGGGGCACATGATCTCCCCGTGTTTCTCCTCCCTACCCTGCCTCTAGCCCAGGGCCCACGCGCTCTCCCCATCCCCTCCCCATGATCCATCCCACCTTACCTGGGTGTGTGTGTGGAGGGGCTCTGTCCTGCTGCACTCTCTGGAACAGCAGCAGCGAAAGGAGCAGAACATGATTAGCACCCAGCCCTGTCCTCCAGCGGGGCAACTGTACAGATCCCAGACAGGAGACGCAGCTGCGTGGAAGGGTTGGGGGTGAGGGCGGTACAACTGCGGCAGAGGAGCTGCCGGTGTGGGACTGCCCGGTGTCTCCACGTTCTACTCCTCCTGTGTCATTCCGGTATGGAGTACCGGCTATAAATATCTTACTGGTACAGCGTACCGTACTGGACCGCCGTACTTGCACTACTGGGCCCCTGCCCATCCTGGCTAATAGCCATTGATGGACCTATCCTCCATGAACTTATCTAGTTCTTTTTTGAACCCTGTTATAGTCAAAGTAGACTCCGATCCCACCTCCAGTTCTAACTGCTTGTGTGTCACCTATAGGGGAATGGATGGATGCATCACTTGAAGTTACAATTACTAACCTTTCCATAACAGTAGTTCTTCAAGATGTGTTGCACATGCCCATTCCACGACACTCCCTCCTTCCCCTCTCTGTCAGAGTCTTATCCAGTAAGAAGGAACTAATGGGGGCTGGGGATGTCTCCACTCTTTAGATCAGGGGTTGGCAACCGGTGGCACGTGTGCCAAAGGCAGCACGCGAGCTGATTTTTAGTGGCACTCTGCTGCCAGCTGGGGTCCCTGGATGAACGGAATCCCAGGCCGGCAGCGGGCTGAGCGGGGCCGGCGGCTGGGACCCCGCCTGGCAGGGGCCGGTGGATGGATGCCCAGACTGGCAGCGGGCTGAACGGGCTTGGCACACCGCTTCTCAAAGGTTGCCGACCCCTGCTTTAGACCATTTTGCAGCAGCAAAAGGTAGCAAGTGCACTTGTACCAACCCAACGGGTACTGCTGAGGGAAAATATCTCCAACAGTAGTGCACTGGGCGCACATATGCCAACCGGGGAATGGCCATGTGCAGTCACTCAAAGAATAGGTACAACTTTTGAGTTGGGTCAATCTAAAGAGACATGGAAGGGGGACTTCCAAAATCTGCCTGAGTAATGGCAGATCTACTAGCCTGAGAAAATTTAGAAAGAAGGGTTAGCACTGTCTGCCTCCTTGGCAGAATAACTCAAAGTTCCCAAAGTCTCAGGTTAATTTGAATGACAGGGGATAGGGAGGAAGAGATATAGAACTTAACTCTATCCTGTTACACTCCCATAAATCCTGGGTAATTCCAGTGATATCTATGCTTTATTCTGGCGTTCCAGCAAACTCTGGCCCACAGACTGGACCAACCACCCTTTAGAAGTTGAAGCCACGTTCTATACAATCAGTTGCCCCAAAACCCAACACTAACAAATATTAGTGGCGCTGCTGCTGACACTCTAGAAGATGTTTCAAAGAGCAGAACACCTCAAACCCCTGAATGCAACTGGAGAAAGCAAGCAAGTTCAGGTGCCATTGGTCATGGCTGTCAGAATGGGAAATTAATAAACAGCTGGCAATAACAGAGACCTTTTCCCCCGGCATCTCTCTTTCTCGGATTTTACAGAATCATTTGGCCTCAAAAATGTCAGTCCTTCCTCAGTGTCGCATTTTGCTGCCAATTCAAAGACTGGCAAGGAAAGATCTGCCAACTTCTTGGCTCTCGGCTATAAATGAGAACATTATAAAGGAGAATTTGTGAGTTAGTTGATTTGTAAACACTACAGCAAGTCACCGTGTAAACATGTCGCTTGTGTTCCTATTATTTCTCTCAAGCAGTTTACCTGGCATCCCACACTGCATGCCAGGATTTTCCTCTCCTTAAGTTATCACAGTTCCTTCACACTTAAAAGAGCCCAGCTTCTTTTTATGCTATTTAAAAAAAACAACCACCACCCAACCCTTTAATTAATCTAATCACAAAGCATCTTGATAATTAGGGTAGGAGAGTCACTGAAAACACTGTGAATACAAATCAGATCTGCAGGTGCACTTGCAATTGTATGGCAGGATACAGTTCTAATGCAGCCAATTAGGGAATGAGAACAAGTAAATAAATAACAGGGTTCCAGATATGTTGCTCATTTGAAACTTTTATCATGCAAAACATAAATAAATAAAAAAATGTCTCTGCAGGCTGTAGTAGCCATTCAGATAAAAATACAAACTGAAATCAATGAAAGTACTACCAGAATAAGGACAATAGGGTTTGGCCCTGTTAGAGTACGTCCAGACTACCTGCCGTATCGGCGGGTAGCGATCGATTTATCGGGGATCGATATATTGCGTCTTGTTGAGACGTGATGTATCGATCCCCGAACGCGCTCCCCGTCTACTCCAGAACTCCACTGGAGTGAGTGGTGGTAGCGGAGTCGACGGGGGAGCCGCAGCCGTCGATTCCGCGCCGTGAGGACGGGAGGTAAGTCAGAATAAGATACGTCGACTTCAGCTACGGTATTTCCGTAGCTGAAGTTGTGTATCTTACATCGACACCCCCCGCCCCCAGTGTAGACCACGCCTTAGTGTTACTCAGATAGCAGGAATTGGATTGATAGAGGGTCTTTCATCTTCAAGATAATCTCAACGTATTTTTCAAAATAAGGACTCAGATGCAGGTGGGGCAGGGACAAATCAACCAGCAGTGAGTTGTCAAATGGCTCAGCTGTCATACGCACAGCATTGGCTGGGACATCCAAGTAATTCCCTACTTTCCAAAAATGAGCAAGGAACCTTCTATCTGCCTCCGAGGCAGGTTTAAAGTTTTGTCTGGAGGAGGCTCTCTCTCTAGCAGGGCAGCGGCTTCCTAGCCCAGAACTACAGCATTAGCAGTAGAAGTCAGTGTAATCTAGTATTTGAAGAAACCTAATCCTGATATTGGCCTGCTGGGTTACGAGACAAATCAATGTGCCATCGTGTTCTTATTGTAACATGGGGATATCTACCACCTGTGCAAAGTGCTCTGTAATCCCTGGGTGAAAGTTATTACCTGTGGGTATCATTATTGACTCCTCAGTTCTGGTGTGGGCATGGAATGCACAAGTCGATGCTTTCGGGGTTAGAGCAATCCCAGCTGCAACAGACCCAAACCACAATGGGGGCATTAGCTGACTATGAACAGTGGAAAGAAGCAGACCAGACTGAAACATCAATTCTGTTCACAAAATATATTTATTGTTGATACAGAGTGAGACATCATTTTCAATACTTGATGACAGCTGGTAGCACGACATGATCATAGGTTACCGACAGAATGTAATGCAAGGCCATTTTACACCTTGCACCCTTGAAGTATTTAACATTATTCCAGCAGAGAGCATGGCGAGGAAGAGGGGGACTTTTGGTTACATAATCTTTGTAATAAGTTAAGCAAACATTCCTTCAAGTGCATATAAAAAGGAAAAGTTCTTAACAGCCAGCAGTCAACACAGGCCCTACAGTGTGGAGTAGTAGTTGGCCAGTTCACAGAGTGTCACCCTACCCTGGGACACTAGGCATTACTTGCCCCTGGATTTGACTGCACGGAGTCACTGAGCAGATTCTACAGTGAAATAGCAGCGTTCGGAGACATTTCCCCCTCCTCTAAGGTCAATGGAAGATATTTTTTCTTTACCTTTTTTCAGTCACCAGTAAGTGAGTTTGACGACGACTGAACAGCACCCTCGGATGTATCATTTCTGATGTGATAAGATACAGGTCTTAGCTTTTCAAACGGCCACGCTGATTGAACGGTGATGGCTGCTGCTCTCGAAATGGTTCTTCCCGTTCTTCTTTATTGGTCTGCTCTGTAAATGGGCTGTCATCTTCTTGGAAAAAATGCTCTGCTGCTGGAATTAGAGTTGATGGCTTTGTGCTTGATTTGGATGTCGCCTTACCCTCCTCTACCAAGCAGGCTCTGCTAAGAAAAGACGGGGGGCGGGGAAACACAGATTTCAACATTTAAAGCTATTACTGGACGCTCTCTTAAATGTCAGCCACATCTATACACTGTTTTCACGTTACCTGTACTCCAGGGAAGACGTTGTAAAGCAAAAATGTCAGCATACATGCAACCACATAAAAACGTTAGGGGAGCAGGAGACAGAATGCATCAGTGCTGTACTCAATGAACAGGACACCAAAGCACACTGAAAAGCGGGAGGGAAAATTCCTTTTATCCTTCCTAACAGTCGCGCCTATGGCTGCTAGCCATTTTAGGCCCCCTTTAAAAAAATCTGCCCATACAATAAGGAAAAACTCATCCCCAAAGGTCAGTAGGTTCATCCTATTCCTAGGGTCTTTAGGATACCACCTTCCATCACATTTTAAAAATATAACAAACCAACCCCCCCCTAATTTCCTGGGGCCTGACAGGCAGGATCAAAATAGCCTTGCTAGCTTTGAACGTGACACACTGACCACGTGCTCCACAGATCATTTTCCAGGCACCATCAGGCCACACAGATGTAACAGCATTGAAGTTTCATGCTGTGTGGCTACCCCAAGTACTCCATTATCAAGAGTTCACAGGCTGCACGGATGTTCCTTCTAGCCCCACATCAGGGACCTGTCAAGCTCCACCAGCACATCCTGCATCTGGAAGGGAGAGTACAGTAACTCCTCACTTAAAGTTGGCTCGGTTAACGTTTCGTTGCTGATCAATTAGGGAACATGCTCGTTTAAAGTTGTGCAATGCTCCCTTATAACGTTGTTTGGCAGCTGTCTGCTTTGTCCACTGCTTGCAGAAACAGCAGCCCGTTGGAACTAGCTGGTGGGGGCTTGGAACCAGGGTGGACCGGCAGCCCCCCAATCAGTTCTCCACTCCCCTAAGTTCCCGATGTGGCAGCCGCCCAGCAGGCTATCAATTGCCGGGCAATTCAGCTGTCCTTCCCCACACTGCCGTGTGCTGCTCCTGCCCTCTGCCCTGGAGCTGCTCCCTGAGACTCCTGCTTGCTGTGCGGGGGGCAGGGAGGGGGGAGAGGGAGGAGGAAAAGAGGGGTGCTAATGTCAGGGTGCCCCCTTCCCCCACTTCTGCCCCCCATCTCTACAGAGCGGGGGAAGACATGACAGGGGTCAGGACGGAGGGAGCTTGCTGGCAGCAGCTGCTGTCTCAACTTGCTGATCTGCTTAAAAAGGCAATGTACTTAGAGTGGGGTCAGCGTACTAAAAGGGGCAATGCGCATCTCTCTCTCTCTCTCTCTCACACACACGGTGTATGTCTCTGTCTCTCTCTGCCATGCTGTCTCCCCTCCCTCCATTCGTGCTGCCTGGCAGAGTGTGAGGCTACATTAACAACACTGTGTTAACCCTTGAATCTGCCCCCCATCTCTACAGAGCGGGGGGAGGGATAGCTCAGTGGTTTGAGCATTGGCCTGCTAAACCCAGGGTTGTGAGTTCAATCCTTGAGGGGGCCACTTGGGGATCTGGGGCAAAATCAGTACTTGGTCCTGCTAGTGAAGGCAGGGGGCCGGACTTGATGACCTTTCAAGGTCCCTTCCAGTTCTAGGAGATGGGATATCTCCATTAATTATTATAATTATAATTGAGGGCTCAGCGGAGTGCTAGGTCATCATTTAGCAGTAAGGCATTCCCTGGGAAATATCCCACCCTCTGACTCCACCACCTCAACCAAGCTTCACAATCATCATTGCTGTGTACAGTATTAAATTGTTTGTTTAAAACTTACACTGTGTGTGTGTGTGTGTGTAGATAGATAATCTATCTATCTAATCTATCTAAAAAATATAGTCTTTTGTCCGGCAAAAAAAAATTTCCCTGGAACCTACCCCCCCCCCCACATTAACTCTTATGGGGAAATTGGATTCACTTAACATCGTTTCACTTAAAGTCACATTTTTCAAGAACATAACTACAGCGTTAAGTGAGGCGTTACTGTACTGTACCAGGCAATGGGCTCCACCATGGTTGTAGAGACCTGGCTGGATATGTTACTGGGCTCGCTGAGGATTTCCTATTGCTATGGCCTGTGAGAGAGAAGGTTGGTGGAAACAAAAACATCTACAGGTTCCAAGAGGTAAGGGAGGATAGGTACCTGGCTCGGTAAAGAGCATACTAAGTGGGAGTTGGTACTAGATTGGCCAGCGGCATGGTAAAAGCATGGTGGAAGCTATATTTGCTGGAGGGCTGGGAGATTAACCAGAAGAAATCTGTTGCTCCTAGTCCTTGGTGTCCAAAAAAGGTAGCAGTGGTAGGTGAGGAACTCTGAATCTTTTTTTTGGAATTGATGGGCCTAATTGAGACCTGAGCCCCAAATGCATGCCTTGAAAAGTTACGTGCTCTGGTATGACAGGGGAAAAGGCAGGCTACTGTTGTCAGTTAGCAATTACTTTAGTAGTTATGGTGGGACAAGGCAGATTTGGGAGTCGAGAGCCCAGGAATTTAGAGATCAGGAGAGAGGAGGTAAACGAATGGGAGCTGTTCTCAAAGTGTGCATGTGTGTAGCAAAATAAAGGGGAAAGCTGTAGGCTGTCATTTATAACTTTAACCACACTCACATGATACATTTACTAAAGCTCAGAAGATAACCTGCAAAGAGCAGTTCGGGTGTAAGGAAAAGATTGCTCTGAGGAGCAGTTCCTGGGCGTACGTGTGAAACAAAGAGAATTGCTCCAGTGATCACAAACATTGATCAAAACCCAGATTAAATAAATGAGGACAAAGTAAGACGGGTCAGTTTCACATTCCTTAGCTGCTATTAGAAACAAAGCAAAGTAAAACTTTTATTAGTTAACTAAATGTATAATCTAAATCTTTACATCATCCCCTAAGAGGTTTCCGCAGAACTGACAAAGGCTATTTTAGCTAGAAGACTCCACTGCAGTGGTTGTATGAAAACTTGCATGTAACTGGTGTTGGTCTGAATATTAACATTGCATAAATTTAACACTGCATAAATTAACATAGGAAAATCTCAAATGATCTGGGGAAAAGCTCTGCAAGTCACAATTTAAAAATGGTTTCTTTTGCTTAGGATCCTGCTAACACTGAAATCTTGACGGTGAGGAAAGAAATGGCAGGTATTTGCCCATCTACAGATCTTTGTCTGCAGCATTTCATCTCCACACCAAAGGATGTGTTCTACGGCACCGAGAAGGTGGGATTGGTTGGAGGGCGGGGGGTACTTTCTATTGCTCAGCAACAAACAGCAGGGACCTGTGTAAATTAGGAGCAAAACCTCAGAGACTGAAAACTGTGGGCTGTCTCCCTTTGTTAAAAAGATCTTAATGGACTGTGCAACTATAGTTGATCCGTTATCTCCATGAAAGAGGTTTCAGCCTGATTTCTGAATTACAGCTCAGCCATTGTCATTTATGCTGCCCAGTTTTCTCTTTTGGTTGGTCGCGAATGGCAGCACTGTGCTTTGCCAAGTCTTTACAGTGTCAACTTAAATTCTGTACCTAGTATCACTGACGTTAGCAAATGAGAGAGAGTTGTTAGATCCTTTCGTCCATCTCCCAGCCAGTGCGGGGCCATTCCCATTTATTTTATATGTGGCCAATCTTGTTCCAAATATTACAAAGCAATGGGGCTGCCACTATTTCTCTTGGAAGGCTGCTCCCACTGGTCTCCTCTTAGCCAGTATCTTTCTGGCAATGTACCTAGAGCTCAATGGAATGCTCCAGGTTTGTGGAGGGCCTATCACCAGCTTGCTCTGTGACGTGATCCTCATGTCTCTGAGAACACTGCCCGCTATCACCCCTATTTCAGCATTACTGCTTACCCAGTTTCTCTCCCTCGAGCCAGAGCGTCTGCAATCGGATTATTCTCCCCAGAAGCAGCAGCAGTTTTATTAACTTTTGCCTAAGTTTCTAATTTCTGTAAATTCTCTGTTGGTCGTAACCGTTAGTCTCCTTTTAATACCATGTACTACTTTCACCAGTTTGCTGTTTCTTCTCGCTCTTCCAAGTCATTAATGAAGGTGTCAAAGGAGAATGGTCCAAACAATACTCCCTCAGGCAGATACCTCCCACAATATGACTCCCCCACATAATAAACTGCCTTTTATTGCTATCTTTCATTAAAGTCTTTTAGCCAGTTTTCACTCCGCCTCTGTTTTCCCAGCCATGCCAAATTTAAAGAATTTTTCAATTCAGATTTTGTAGGACAGTATCAAGCGCTTCACTAAAATCCAAAGACATCATATTTATTGCAGGGCTTGGTCAAATATGGCTTTATTCTGGCTACGAAGCATGATTAAGGTCCACTCTATGCTACAAACTGGAATCATGATTGTAACTAGGCTGGGGGACAATGTTTTGTAACCAGGCTTTCTGGCAGTGATGTATTTGTAGTGTAGGCTAGGCTAAGGCTTGAAACCATGTTTCAAAGTATTTTCAAACACAGCCTAACGTGTAGAAACTGGCATCCACGCCTAGCACAGCTACAATTGTACACCTGTACTCAGAAACTGTGCTGTACAGGCTGTGTTGGGGTGTAGTATGGATGAGTTTACAACAAGAAAATTAGGACCGACTGGTAGCAATGGTGGAGTCCAAAGCGTAGGCAGGGTTCAGGGGGTTTTACCAATGTCTCACCTATATTTGCTCTGCGTAGACTAATAACAGGGTGATAAAAATGCTGGTAGACAGTCTAGATTAGTGCTCCCATTGTTACTATCACTGGTAGTACAGCAACAGTGAAAGAAGTTTTTAAAAAATGCTGACGAGGACTCGGCCATAGTGTCTACCCTTAATGATGGTAACAAGTATCTCCTTCTCCCGCACTATTACAATAGTATGAAAAATATTAATAATACACTTCTATTTATCAGACCAGCTTCCTAGGACTTCAGGTAAAGATTTACGGATTTAAGTCAAGATGTCAAATTCCTTAGCATTAGCAGCTCTCCGGGCTTTTTCTAAGAAAAGACGAGATTGAGACATAAGATTACAGACAGGGAGAGAAATAAAGAGCATATTGAAGAGAGGGTGAAGTGATTATAAGCATGATAGGCAAGAAAGAGGAGTCAATAAATTCAATTTATGAACAGCACAGAGAATCTGCTGCCTGAGCATAAGTGCCCAGCTTCCCTACCTGGAAATCGGATTAGTTAACTTATTTGGTTTTTAATATCTTGGTCTATTCCCCCTAGCATATTTCCCCCCCCTTTGTTTTGCTTCTGGTAGCCAACACCAGTTAACTTTTTCATTCCTGAATCCTCTTTCTATTTATCCCCCTTAACACATATTTTCATTTGCTGTATATTACAATAATATTTAACAATGATGTCATAGTCATTGTACAATTTCGGTAAAAAGCAGGTAAAAATAATTACATTTACAGCTGTAACACATGAAGGATGAGAACGGATGATCATTATCACAACGCAATTGTTGTTTCTGGCTGCAAATATTTCATATCATAGAACGCTTCCCCTAGTCAGGTATATTAAGGAAGTAACTTGTATGAATCACCATTCCGGGAGCATGTATGAATGAGAATGAGAAAAGGGCTTTAAAAAAAACTCAAGTTCTTGTTCAGGAAACATTTACACCCATCAAGAGGTTTGGCAAAAAATGGACACTTATTTCCCCCCACCCCCTTCTCCTCACCCTGCATCACTATAGGCTATGAGCATCTCCCAAACATGAATGAATTCATGCCTGTGAACACCCCTGTGAGGAACGGACGCGTTGTTCACTATTTATATTAGTTTACAACGGGTTTATAAATGATTTAGAGATGTTAAAAATATGAACAGTAGGTATTATAGATGATTTTAAGCACATCAGTAGAAGGTATTATATATGGTTATAAGCAATCTATAACTATTGATTAACTATTCACTAAAAGAACTACCACCACCCATATCTATAAACATCCACAACATCATGCTGGTTTCAGATTTCAAAGCAGAAAGGCATCGCATGCTAGTAAGTGAAAATGTGGAAAAATTAAATATACACAGATGAGCAGGGGCTGGCTGATATGCACCCTAAAGGGTAAAGGGAATTTAGCTAAAGAATTTACTGAACTTCAGGCAGTTATCTTTGAAGAGACACAGAATTAAGGAAGTTCCAGTAGACCAGAGAAAAAGCAAACCCTTTCAGGCTGGTGAGTGCCCCACTGGAAAAAATGCAGTCGCACTTTCTGTGCTCAAAGGAGCGCAAGGAATGTGGTTGTGGTCCATGCCTGCATGGTGGTCCAAAGCTCCTTGCATTTCCTGACACCTTACGTGCCTGAGCAGGGCTCAATCACAGTCTGCCCCAAAATAATGAATAAAATGGCATTAGGTTTGGCAAAGGAAAATATAGGCTGGGTATCATGAAAAATGTCATCAGCAGTGAGATCTGTTAGACTGTGAATATCAAGGGAAGTGTGGGAGCACAATTGCTTAATGCATTTATAACTGGATAGGAAGAAACTCAAGAGAACATACTGGAGGGAACAGCCCTGCATTCCTAGAGGAAATAGAAAAGGTGACCTAATTGGTCCTTTCCATTTCAGATCTTTATACTAACTGTCTACTACAGTGAATCATGTTTGATTGGGACTACTCATTCACAATAAGAAATTCACCACCATCAAGGGCATTGGGGAGTTTCGCTGAAAATGTAAAATCTTCCATAGCTTGGATCCCCACACATACACACAGAGCAAACATACTGCAGCTGTTCAGGTGGAGGCCTTTCTTCCAGAGTTGCTAATCCACCAGGGATTCCTATTTCAAAAGGAATACACTAACTACATGGACAAAGGATTATAAGGCTAGAAAGAGAGACGTTTATTAAGCGTTGCTGACCTCAGATGGGTCGGGCTGTTTTAGCACTGCAACACACCGGTGACTGGTTGGTTGGATTGAGATTTCCACAGCAGCAGACCATTAGCAGTATTAATACCAATAAAGACAGCCGCAGGACAAATAAAGCTGCTCTGACCCAGAGTTACTGCCAAAAGGTCCAAGTGAATGGATATGGTGAAACTCTTGCTAGTATTCACTACAGGTATAATTAACTACAATAAAGGAAACAAGGCTATGTTATCAGAATCAGAAGAGTTTGCTGAAGTCTGTGCTAACACACTGGAGCAGGAGCTCTGATGTTTTCCTTTCAACTACTGGAGTTCACCAACATTAAAATTTGAGATCAATAGTCTTATTTAAGCACATGCTTTATACATACAGAGCTGTGGGGGGTGAGCTTTGCTCTCACTGATTTCTTCAAAGACACAGAAATTCACAGATTCTAAGGCCAGAAGGGACCACTGTGAAGTAAGACCTAAATTCTTTGCTCCTAAATGTATAACTTTACATTGGCCGTATTTAAAATGCATATTGTTTGCTTGTGCCCAGATACCAAGAGATCTTCATCATTCTGTATCAGTGACCTGTCCTCTGAGGATGGAATACGTTTCTTGATACTTAAGTTGGAGAAGGCCCCAAAACCAAGACTCCAGATCTGAACCATCATGAAATATTGTTATGTTCAGAGAACTGAACCCAAACTTTGAGGCTTGAGCCTATCTCTAATTTAAACATATACTTTGCTCACTTCTAGCCTCTTTCTCTTATGCTGCGCTAATATGGCAATACCACTAAGTGTGGTGAGTCAGCTAGTAGTACCCAAGTGCTTCAGTTATCAGTACAGCTGCAGGTTTGGTTGTTTGTTAGTGTACATAAAGAGCTGTACTTTCACAAAATAAAATACCCAACTGCCACACTATTATGATGTGCATACATCAAAGACCCCTAAGAACTACACTCTGCAGTTACAAGCCAAAGAGGAATGTTAAATCACTGGCTTTTTAAGGAAGTCACAGACTTTTAAACAAATCTTTATTATATTTTGCAACTATCCATTTAAAAAATCCTTCTGACATAAGTGGCTAGTCAAACTTTTATAGAACATTAGACGTTTACACTATATGATAAAATTATAATGCTAGCAAATTAGGTTGCAAACAGGGCCGGCTCCAGACACCAGCCCAGCAAGCCGGTGCTTGGGGCGGCCAAGGGGAAGGGGTGGCACACTGGGCTCTTTGGTAGCAATTCGGCGGCGGGTCCCTCGGTCCCTCCCAGGGAAGGACCTGCCGCCGAATTGCTGCTGAAGAAGAAAGCAGTGCGGTGAAGCTGCCGCCGATCGCAATCGTGTTTTTTGTTTTGTTTTTTTCCCCCGCCGCTTGGGGCGGCAAAAACCCTGGAGCCGGCCCTGGTTGCAAAAGGATAGGATAGGCAGGTTACAATGCCACATTCCGGGAGTTGGGTGTACATCAAAAATCAAAACTTCCTACAATCTGACTGGTTCGCTAGCCAGTTTGGGACATGCATTAACTTGTTACTGAAATGGGTGATGTTATGGATAGAATTTTATGACAAAAATACCACTCAGATGAATCCGCTTATCTTGCAGCTAAAATCGCAGATACGAGGAAACGTTTGCTAACTGTAATGTCTATTACACTGTGGAACAATCTCCCAAGGGAAGTTCTGGAAACACTTTTGCTTGAGTAATTTAAAATTGGACTCTACAAAGCACACGAACACATACTGTTAGGAACAATCCTGCATTGGCAGGTGAGAAGGATTAACAAGATGATCCAACAGTATTTTCCATCTTATTTCCATAAGCCATTCAGTAGCTGCATTCTTCTACCCACCTGTTTGGCATGATTGACGCAATGAAAGTATTGGCTGGCCAGTGCAGAGCAGCTGAGGGTCTCATGGGAGTTTTGCTGATAACATTGGAGAATCTTACTCTGCAGATCAGCACAGATTGGATGAGACTCATATCGCCTGGGGAAAGAAAAACAGAACAACATTTTACAGTTTCCGTCTGAGAAAGATTTCATGAGGGCTTTATCCAGCCGTTTTGTTAAAAGTAAACCAAATAGTAAAAGGGAAGGAAAATTTTGTAGAGCTAGGAAGGAAAGCAGCTTCCAGACTATACTGTGCTGTTACCTGAATAACATAAAATACAAGCACAAAAGGAAGCTATAAATTGGACTATTAGGACCAGAGACCAGCTACATCTTCTAGATCCAGCATTCAGTTCTAGTTTCTAGAGACACTAACACCCAATTTACTTCACCTGAGCATAGGTCTCTAATTAAAAGGCCCCAAAGCGACTAAACAGGCCTGGTTTCACCTACAATAAGAAAAAGTTACAGGAAGAACCACTAGGTAAGTCAAGCCTCACCAATGCATATCTCTATGACATCTTAATACTGCTGCTGGTCATGCACTGGCTGTGTGTGTAGGACAGGCAGGGAATGCTATCTTCTTGGACCTGGCCCACAGAGAACATAAAGGACCCACTATTGTCACCAGCGGAGGGAGATGACCTTTTGCTCAAATGATATCCTGTTATTTTTGGAGCTGAAGGCTTCAAGTTCTAAGCTCAATTCCCAGGTATGTATGTGATTTAAATAAGAATTTTGTCTGTTTTCTTCACTGTATGGGATTCGTGACACTTGCATCAATCTCTCTTGCTAACCCAATGTAGCCATTGTCTTCAATCGGAGCTGTGGGAATTGAACACATCTCAGGACCAGTCCTTTAAAATATAACCTCTTTGGGGCAAGTATCTTGTCATCTTACATTAATCCATGAAGTGCTATCCATGCCTATGGCACTGAAGAATTAATAAATAATTCCTGAGCTCTAAGCATGGCTCAGACACAGACACCCTCTGTAAACTTGGGCAGGGCAAACTGTCACTATTTTCCCATCTGTAAAATGGGGGTAGAATGCATGCCTACCTCAAAGCTAAGGATGTTTGCAAGGTGCTTTCAAGATGAAAAGTGCTAAGTATTATTAGACTAACTGGCTACCTCTGTGTGTTAAATGTAAAAAAGGGTATTTCTATGGCATTCATCACTATAGCATGAGGGTCAAATGATGTTTTTTTAAACCCAGTAGTAACAAAGTGCGTTTTTATTGACTATAAATAATAAACACAGCTTTAAAAATGATATGGTTCTTCTACTTTGAAGACTAATATTCATTTTATGTGCATATATAGCATACTTAACTCATCTTCCAGTTAGTTCTTCAAGGAACCTGAAACTGGCTGCTCAAATATACATTCCACAATACATTATTTTCAGTTCAATAAGGTTAAAAAAAAAATAGACTCATCAAGCCAGAGTATCCTCAGATGAATATTTTGCTCCTTATTTGCTGATTGGCCTAGGCAGCTCTATATTGTACTAGAGTATGAAAGTAAACTGCAATGCACAATACTGTTCCTTAGGGACATCTGCTTCTTGGCAGCCTCTCAAGATGTAGTACCAAAAAAGGAATGTTAAATCTCCTTGATTTTACAGTATATGCTCATATAAAACATCTCTCTCTTACTCTCTTCATTCAGTACCTTACATCTCCATGAAACACCTAAAACAGAATTTAAATCTAGTCCCATGTGCTTACATTCTTTATGATCTGAAAATTCAGACTTCTGTGGATTCTTATGGATGAGGATTTTCCCTTAATCCCCTCTCTGCTGATACTAGCAAGTGTTTTAGAGGCTGTTGTACATCAAAATGTATGACCATAGAATGTTGTACACTGACTGATTACAGTGAGGTCTTTGGCTGTATCAATATCAAATAAAACGTGAGGGGAAGCACGGCATACGCTCTTTGCAGACTTATGACTCACCGCTCTGATGATTCTGTTTCTAACAAGATTCATAGATTCCAAGGCTAAAACCAATGGTCATTTTACCTGACTGAAAGCCTGCTCTGGATTGATAATCCAATACCACAGAATCAGTTAACAGAATATAAAGACATGCATATAAAACTTGACCTAACCCTGCCTTAATTCACAAGTGACTTTAAAAGTCTGCCTTGTATTGTGTCCCATATAAATTGGGAGGTTGGGGGAAAGAAGGAAGGAAGAAAATGGCTCTTTATATTTTCATTATGTAAATTTGTCTAAATATTATTTCAATAGTTTTAGGCCAGAGACAAGCTTTTGTTTGTTTTTTTGAGTCATGCTATTAGCAACACAATTCAAAGGCCATACATTATTTTTTATTTGAAATGTGTCAAGGTACGCTTTTATGCTGCTGTCAGTACTACAGCACTTCAGGGCCTTTGATTTTCTGTCTGTTAATCACTTGTTTTCATAATGTTTTAGAAAAAGCACCTGCATCCACTGCCAAGCTCCTCAGGCATTCAAAACCTGGTATTTATGGGAGTTCAATGCGAACAGGTGCAGTTCCTTGAGTGGACCATGTCCATTTTCTTGGATTACTCTGCTAGGGAAGAACAGTGGGCCTGTATTGATCTGTTATGCTTGGTATGCTACCCTAATGCATGGTTTTCACTTTTGAGAAAAGTCTAAATGAGATACTAACATTAGGTGGCCATAAAATACAAACTGTGGTACCTTCCATTTGGAAAGAGACTCCAAGATGCTTCCAATGTGCATAATGGTAAGTCTGCCATACAGTTACCAACTGATTTCTGTAGAGGAATGTGCTCTCTCCTTTTGATGTACAAAACTGCTGTTAGGTGGGCATCACTGAAAGAAAATGGCAAGACAACTCCTTGGAAGGGAAACTAAGTATCTATCAGGGAAGATTTTCTAAGGTTTTATAAAAGTGGTTAAGGGCCTGGAGGGTTTGACTGATGAGGAAAGGTTAAAAGAGTTAGGCCGTGGCTACACTCGAAACTTCAAAGTGCTGCCACAGGAGCACTCCCGCGGCAGCGCTTTGAAGTGCGAGTGTGGTCGCGTGCCAGCGCTGGGAGAGAGCTGCAGGTACTCCACCTCCACGAGAGGATTGGCTCCCAGCGCTGGAGCACTGTTTACACTGGCGCTTTACAGCGCTGTAACTTGCTGCGCTCCAGGGGGTGTTTTTTCACACCCCTGAGCGAGAAAGTTGCAGCGCTGTAATGCGCCAGTGTAGCCACGCCCTTAAATGATGCAAATACTAATGAAGTAAAACCTGTAACGTATCTTCATTACATTAAGCAATTCATTTATGTATTTCAGTTTTTGTTCGGTTTTAAACAGTGCTCGTCACCATTGTGGCTTAAGAGACCACCACATAATATCCACCCTAATCTACTTTTGATAAATCTGTCCTGCCTCTGTTAGATCACCCCGTTCAGAAACAGAGTTTTATGATTCTTCGCCACTCGTGATTTACTGTATCAATAGGGTGTGAAGGCACAAGGAAGGTGAGGAAGTGTTTAGGGTAGTCCAAGGAGATATAATGAGAAACAAAGGCGTTAAATTAAGAAAAGGTAAATTTAAGATGACCATCAGGAGAAAGGTTTCAGAGTAGCAGCCGTGTTAGTCTGTATCCGCAAAAAGAACAGGAGTACTTGTGGCACCTTAGAGACTAACAAATTTATTAGAGCATAAGCTTTCGTGGACCACAGCCCACCCCCTCGGATGCACACAGAATGGAATACACATTGAGACAACTCCCACCTGTTTATGCTCTCTGTATGTGTGTGTATATATATCTCCTCAATGTGTGTTCCATTCTGTGTGCATCCGACGGGGTGGGCTGTGGTCCACGAAAGCTTATGCTCTAATAAATTTGTTAGTCTCTAAGGTGCCACAAGTACTCCTGTTCTTTCATCAGGAGAAACACATCCTGACAGTGAGATCTATTATACTGTAGAACCATTATCCACAGGAAGTGCTGGAATCTTCATCACTTGGGACATTCACAATGAGACCGGACAAAACAACAGAAAAAATATAATGTAAAGAACAGTCTCCTGCCTGGTAAGGGGATGAGCTGGATAGCTTGATAAGTCTTTCCCACCTCTAATAGATGCGATTCTATGACCACTTTAAGAAAATAACACATCCAAGAGATTTAAAATAGAAAGTTGCTGGGTTTTGTGGCAAAAATCAGAATGAGATACAGTCTGATCTAGGAAGTACATTATATGGAACAACTGCAACAACTTGTTTTTGAGCTTATTACTGTATTACTTCTTAATCTGCTTTTGCTTTCCCGGCTGCCCCTCAAGCACCTCACATGCTAAGAGAATGCTTCTGTGTATGAGTGTAAGCCTTAAAGGATGCCATTCACCCACCTTTTCAATAAAGCTGATGTAATGGAAGCTGGTAAAGATAATAAAATGAAAACACAAAAGAGAATACGAGGTTGTTGTTTTTTTAAATTCACATTCTATGCTATGGGATGAAGAACATATTTAACGAAAGTGACTTTATCTATCTATCTAGTCTTTCTCAAAGAACTTAGCTCATTATAATCCCAGGGGCTCCAAGAAAGGAACCCTTTAGAATGTTCAAACAAAATGTCAACCAAAGAGGAAATCTGAAGCCAGAATGGTAAGCTATACAGTTTTGTAATAAAATGGGCATCCTGAACGGAAGAATTCGAATTGCTGATGAGTTTCCAACTGTGCAGGTAACTGGTATAATCCCATAGGATGAGGAATCAGACAATTGTCAGAAGAATGTAAGAGAACACATATAAAAGCACTAACACACTTTAAAACATACAGGATACACAGATTTCTCAGGTGATGGAGTTGTTCTTTAGCTTTAGGCCTCTCAACAATAAGGCACATATTTATGTGTGTGTATATACACAGATACACACGCACACACACTTATCAGGAAGCGAAACATGTAGTTTCCACTTGAAACCGCAGGGAGTTTAGAGGGAAACGAATCCTGTTAACAAAACTGGATTTTTGCCCAGAAGACTTGATTTATCACCATCTCTCATAAAAAAGTGCCATTGAATCTTAATGGACAGCGGTGGCCAGAGCCTCAGTTTTATTTCTCATTCAAAT